CCCAAATCTGATTGGACAGGAACAGGGGGCATTCGTGAAAGGTCGTTCTATCCATGAGAACATATTGGCAACTATCCAAGCTCTAGAAATTATAGGAAAGGAGAACAGGGATGTGGCCATGATGCTCATTGATTTAGATAAAGCATATGACAAAGTGGGTTGGGCCTTTATAGCCACTACCCTGCAGAAAATGAATTTTGGTACGAACTTTATGAAAACAATCAAGGCGATGTACTCGAAAGGAACAGCAGTAGTAAATGTTAATGGGTGCCTGTCGAATGAAATCTCACTGTCTCGTTCGCTGCGTCAGGGATGTCCCCTGGCTCCGCTTTTATTTGTGATCCAACTGGACGTCTTGCTAACTAACATACAGCACAACTCTGCCATTAAGGGTCTGCAACTCTCCCCAACAATGGACTGGAAGGGTAATGTATTGGCAGATGATCTGACCTTGGTGTGTAAAAACACCCAGGCTTCGCTAAACGAACTTAAAAATGTATTGAACGAATACTGTTTATCATCGGAAGCTTCGATAAACTGGGGTAAATCTTCCTACCTTATCCCGGAACCACGGACCTTGGCATGTGATTGGGGAATGAATAGAGTGAGGGAAAGGGACTCAGAAAGACTTTTGGGGGTTCAGAATTCATTGGGCGACGCGTCACCAAGACAGGACGAGATTTTGGAAACCAGAGTAACTGCTAGAATAGCCAGCTGGGAACACAGACATAACCTGTCATTATTCGGAAGAACCTTAGTAATATTGGTAGCAGCCTTTTCGATACTATGGTTCCCAATGGTGGTGCATTTGCTGGGGGAGAAGGCGTATAGGAAAGTGAAAAGGGCGGCAGCGGGCTACACATGGAAACCCTCTCTTAAGGATGGAGAAGGGTTTTTGTCGAAGGTAGCATGGGATGCCATTGCACAACCCAGGGAGGAGGGTGGACTGGGCCTAATTGATCGAAAACAACAAAATCACGCTCTTCTGGCAAGGTGGCCCGTTAAAGCTATGTCTGAGGAGGACGGAAAAAGCTGGAAAAAACTAGCAGAATACATTCTGGGAATGGAATGGGAATTGAAGGACCATTCGGATGTCTGGCATTGTCTACTTCTCCCTTCTTATGCAAACAAGAGACCAAAGTCACGGATTTGGAGGGCAATCCTCACAGCATGGAGGAAACTTCAGCCCCAACAGTTGTCGCCCCCAACCTCAAAGGGAATGGTGTTGAATCAGATATTATTTGAAAACACCTTAATCCGGCAGGCGGACGGCTCGACATTTTCGGCAGCAGACACAGCGGGTAGTTTCGGCAGAATCTGGATCTCCAGAGGGATACTGAAGGTAAGTGATCTGTGGGACGCCCGAGCCCAAGACTGGCTGCCGCTGAGCACACTTAGGAAGCTGCTACCAAGGCTACATAATGTACGCATCCATTATGAGGCCCTGAAAGCAGCGATTCCACAGTACTGGAAATCGCTGTTGAAAGACAGCTCAATGCCAGCAAAGGACACTTGGATGAAACCCCCGGGTGGGGAAGAGCAGTTTTGGAGAATTTTAGGTCCTAACCTGCAACAGGACATGAGGGCTCAGGTGTGGAAACCACGGGCAGGTCCGAGAGATACTCCAGCTGCCTGTAGACCTCTGAAGTTCGTAGAGGAAAAATCAGTTGTCTCGGTTCATGGGTTTGAAGAGACTAGGGTGTGGGTTACCACAGATAAAAAAGGCAAAGATCACTGTCAGGGAGGTCTGTCGTTTTCTCTGGGGAAAGTGGAACCGTACATGTTTGGATGGAGGACAGGGAAGACGGGAACGGGAAAGGATACAGTCCCACTAACGCACTATACGACGAAGGTAGGAAGAGAGTTGCAGAGGCATAGACTCCCTACCTCCCCCACGGCTCTAGCGGTTCGCCGGTGGGATGACTTTGTCCCCAATATACTCACCCCAGCCGATCTACAGTCCCTGTGGGTCCAATTAAAGAGAATGTCTAGTCAGAAGACAGCAGCCCTCCTGTGGTTACAGTCACTCCAAGTTGTTGCCTCTGCCACCTGGCTGTATACCAGACAAATGAAGGTTTCGACAGTCTGTACACGCTGCAAGTGGGCATGGGAAACAACCCCGCATCTTTGGCTCCACTGCCCTTTCTCGATTAGACTCTGGCAATGGTGGCGCAAACATTGGAAGAATTTCTCAGGCAACTTGCAAAGACAACCATTAGAGTGGACTGACTGTTGGATACTTACAGGGAAGGCGGAAAGCTTTAAGCCATTCGAGAAGGGCTGGGGATATATTGCGCAGACCTGCAGGGGGATAATCATGGAAGTAATCTGGCAAGGCAGAAACGATGCACTCTTCAGAGGAGAAGCTGGGTCAACAGAATGGGCTCAGAATTTGATAAAACAGAGGATAAGGCAGATAATCAGAGCAGATTGGCATAAGAAAGGGACGCTGTGGTTTTCAAACACTTGGGCAGCGGGAAATCGATTGGCAGGAGTCACAGTGGAAGCCAAGTTGGAAATTGGCCCATGGGTGAGAACTGGACCCTCCGACATACAGGGGAGCCGACATAGGCAGAACCCAGTGTTTGGGTAGATAGATAATGGCGGTTTCATGTATTGGCCTTGACTCTAAATGTTGGTACGGAAAATCTGATAGACTCAAACGGCTATGCTAACGGAGCCAAGTGGTTGGTAGGAGGCCGACTTTTAGGCCTGGAAGTCACACTTGGGATCTATAATGGGATACTATGGGGGAGATTGTTGAAAGACTTCAGTTCACCTGAGTGAGTGGGGCTTAGGAGGTTCAGATGAGTAAATAGTCTGGTTTGATAGTGGTAATGCGGAGATACTAGGAGCCGAGGTACTGGGTTGGACTGGATTGAGCACATAGAGGAATAAGCCTTGTGGAGAGGCAGCCCCTTTTTGTAATGAGTCAATTTTC